TGGTACTGTAAGTCCCCCATGTAGTCCCCTCCTGTACAACCCCTGTAATGTCAGTTTGGAAACCCCTTGCATGGGGAATTGCATAAATACTGTGACCTGTGATTAAAACCTCAGTTGCCTCCCAGCCTATGTGTCGTCTAGTTCTTGGGAAGGAAGGGTTACTGCAGTGCTGTTTGGATTATTATATGCTGATTCCCTGGATTATCCTTTGTTGTTCCTGTTACCCAGCGGAGATATCGTGGATCATACTGCCTCTCCGCTACAGAGGGCCCACAAGGTGAATTGTTAATAAATATGGGTGTAGGTGGGTGGGGACAAATAGCTTGCATGACAAAGGTAAGTAGGGGGGTAGGGTTTATATAGGATCATAACTCCTCCCACAAATTCAGGCCAAATGGCCTTCCAACTTGTGCTCGTAATTTATCTAATACGTAATGGAATGTAGAAGGAGAAGCAAAGTTGGTTAAGATGTGCCGAAACCAACGTACGAGTAGGCCTGTAAAAAAGGGCAAAAGAGGATTCAAAGAAAAACACACTTTATTGCAAGTTTATACAGCTTGTGTACTGAAAGCTTGTCAGGAGTTTTACTCTGATTGAGGTATATATGTAACTGAGTTGAGGATTACCTGTGGCCCCATCATTTAGTGATGTAGACTGGGGTGTAAGAGCTTGAAGCTGCTGTTTCAGCACTTTTGCGAAAAAGAGAGACCAGCGAAGGAAGCCATGATGTAGCTTACCCTAATGGAAGGTTTAGACGTGAAGTAATGAATTAGTACTGATAGTGTGTGGCTGACCTTGGATACGTAAAAAACGGAGTGACAGCATAGGAGGTATAAATAAGATGCTTGATTTGTAGGTTTAGAGGAAGAGGCAAAAATTACAATAGTTTTACTATATATATATTACACACTCTGAAAGGACCAATATTAGAAAAATAAATATACCAATAATATGTAAGGCTATGTCTTGCCACCCTAGATGATATATATATATATATATATATATATATTGTGTGTGCTTATATATTACTCAATCATCAGGCTCACAGACAGACAATCTCATTGACATATATACGCTCATTGACATAAAAATTCCAGGTCACTGATGCACACAAATAGGCTCACTGACAGACAATTTCACTGACACACACAGACAAGCTTATTGGTATACAAACAAATTTAGTACAGACAAACTCTGACATTCACAAACTTACTGCAGACAAGCTCACTGTCACACACACATGCTCACTGACACACACATGCTTAAACAGGCAAGCACACTGACACACTCATGCTCATACCTAGCATAGTCACAGGGGTCACAGCTCCGTCCATGGGGACGGGCCAAAGGTGCGATCCCTGCAACCGTGTGCCAGTCAGGGAGTACAGCCACTTCAATGCTCCCTTTTCAGCCCCAACAGCCCCTATCCTACCCAGCAAACACTCTCACACACACAATGTATCCCTACACACACACACACACACATACACACTGCATCCCTACACACATACTGAATCCCTACACACACACACAATGCTTCCCTACACACACAATATGCATTCCTACACACACACACACAATGCATCCCTTACACACACAGAAACAGACGCTACTTACTTTACAGTAGTGGGAATAGAATGACATCCATGGCAGGGCTGGGTCAGAGGAAATGACACAAATGGAGGGGCTGGGATGGAGGCAATAACACACTTGGAGGGGCTGGTGGGATGAGATGCATGGTGGGGCTGGGGGGGATGAGAAGCATGGGGAGGCTGGGAGGGTATGAGACGCATGGAACGGCTGGGAGGGGGACCCAGGGCAATCTTCGCACCGGGGCCTAGTGATTTCTAGTTACACCTCTGCACACACACAAATTCACTCACTAGCAGGCACACACACACACAATCACTGTCATGGCTGAAGTTTACCTGGCACTGGTAGGTGAAGTTGCCATTTTGTGACCTCTTCCTCCCAGACAGGTCAGCAACGTGCGTGCGGGGGCAGAGCTTGTGTGCTGGAGACAGAGCTTCTGTTTGCTGGGCTTGCGTGCAGGGGCGGGGCATGCGGTCGAAATTTAGGTAAATTTTGAATAGAGACTGACAGGTCTTACTCTGGCCACCAGCAGCCTATTCGATGGCCTATTCGGTATGATGTTCTATCAGAAATCAATATTTATCAGATTTCTATACCTACGTCACTTCTGGTTCACCTACATCACCGGAAGTGACGCGGCACATCCATCAGATATAGCAATCTGATATACAAATCTGACGTGTGTACTGCGCACGTGGAAACAAACTAAAACACTCTATTACACCATTCATTAGGATACAACTGATTTAGGTATGTCAATGTAAAAATGTCAATACTTCAATGTATGTAAATAATAAATGGCAGCTGTGCACCACGGCATGTATATCTCCCTCCACAGGTTTAGACACCGTTGTCCACTAGGAGACATTAAATAGATCAGCTCAGTGGAAACAAGGCATATCTGTCCTTTAAAAACAATACATACGATGTGTGCTTGGTTGCACTTAAAGAGGAAGAGTTAAATTACTATAGAACAAACATACAGCAAAAATGTGAAACGCACACTAAAAGCAGAACCTAGCACAAACTGATTTTTTTTGGCAGCAGCTGAGGTTAACAAAACATGTTCTGAGTGTCAGATGTGCTTAGTTTCAACATAAAACTATTTGCAAACAGTTTGCAGATATCAGATTCTCAAAGGTCAAAAAATAGGATCTGCAGGTCTAGGACACAAACATGGAAATGCTTGCTCAGTTTTAAATGTTAAATTAGTTCAGTCATGTAATTGGAAGTTAGTTATGTTTTTTTTCTTCTATAGTCTCCAATCCTCGAGCACTGCACTTGATCACAAAGAAATATTAGGTACCTTTCCCAAACTAATAGCTGCCACCCCACAACACCCCTTACCTCCTTTTCACCATACTGCATCAACCCCCATTCTGTGAACTGTGTGTGTGTGTAAGAATGTAGGGCTGTATTTTTTGTAGAGGATTAGCATGTGTGAATTAAGTTTGTGTAATGTGTACAAATTTAGGTGTGTTTTGTGAGGAATTCCAGTGCAGAAGTGCATTTGTTTCGTAGTGCTAGTGGTGAATGCAGGAGCAAAAATACATTTGTGGGGAGTACCAGTGTGTGAAAGCAGTGATGTATTTGAGGGAAGTGCTAGTGTGTGAATGGCATGGGTGTTTTTGAGGAATGTCAGTATGTGAATGCAGGAGCTTATTTGTGGAGTGTCATTGTGTGATAGCAAAACTCTATTTGTGTGGAGTACCAGTGTGTAAATGCAGAGGTGGACTTGTGTTGCGCGCAAGTTTATGAATGCAGTGGGTATAGTTGTACTGAGTGCCAGTGTATCAAAGCAGAGGTGTATTTGTGTGGCGCACTGGTTTATGAAGTATATGAGGTATATTTTTGCAGAATGCCCACGTGTGGTATTTGTATGGATTGCGAGTGTGTAAATGAAGTATTTGTGTGGAGGGTTAGAGTGCATGAATACAGTTACTGTAGTATATATATACAGGGTTGTACATGCACAGTGTGTGTTTTTCATCCACTTCCTTTACTTGTGTCTCTCTGCCTCCTTAACTTCCTCCTATAAAAATCTGAGGGACAGCAGAACAAAATGATAAATTAATTGTGTGTTTGTATCTGTGTGTGTATATTAATGTGGTTTTATGGATACATGGGTTTATGGATGTGCATTAGTTTTTCCTTTCACCATATGCAGATTATTTTGTGATAAACATTACATTTAATGCTGTCTCTAATTGAGTACCTTCTTTGCATGTTGTACAAGTTAATATTGTTATTTTAATGTAATTTGTTGTGAACTGTGTTCATTGTAGTATATTTCTATTTTTGTTTCGTTTAGCTAATTTGACAGTCTGCACAGGCATATATTGGAACTTTTGGACTGAAGAGGTCTGTAGCCAATATGATGATTTGCTTTTCAGTTATTCATTGCTACTTATCTCCACATGGCCCTGTCACTGGATGGTGGCAGGAAGTTGTGTCAAATGCCCCAACTAGGAGGCCCTATCACTAAGCCCTGATGAGTGGCCCTAATTTGACCCCCCAGACTGGTCAGTACACTCCAGAGGTCCTGTCTTTATGAAATGCAGAAAAGCCCTGTATATTGATCATGGGCAGGAGGATTTCACCTAGGATTCCCAGATATATCGCAATATAATAGATATTATGCACTGTATAACATTAATAGTAACATAATGGATTTAACTTCACACAGAGCTGAAGTTGAACCAGTCAGTTCACAGTACAATTTATACCGGTTGATCTGAAGTCTCTTCTGTTTTACAGCTAATGTTTTTAAATCTAATCTTTGTCTATTATATTAACGTAACAAAGTTCTCTCAACAAGCATAACTAAAAAGATAAGAACAGACAACAAGCTGAAATTAACTTATATCAAAAAAAAAAAGCAAGCACTGTTGCTTGCAGAGGTCTCCCAACTGTCCCGAGTTTGGCGGGGCTATCTCCATGTAGGAGTCCTGTTCTACTGTCCCAGGTTGGTTCCATGTTGTCCCACATTTGGGGATAATAGGGAACTGTCCCCATCCAGCACATCATTAGACATGCTTGTGCTGTACTAAGGGCAACAGGACCATACAGAAAGAGCTTCAACAGTGCTGCATACTCTGCTGTTCGTAGGGCTGGCTGGGAGACAGGGCAATGAGACTCCCAGCCAATAGGGGGTCACTGTGTATTGAGAGAGGCAGGGATAGGAAGTTACAGCATATCCCTCCTTGCCTCTCTCTACTCACTGATCTGCAGGGGAGCAGCTAAACAGCACAGAGCATTAAGACAGCAGCTCCAAGCCTGCAGAGACAGACTTCAGCTCGGGGAAGTGAGGGATGAGGGGAAAGGCAGCAGGGAGACATGGGGACACTGAGACACTAGGGGACACTGAAACACTAGGTGACACTGGGAGACCTGGGGACACTGAGACACTAGTGGACACTGTGAGACATGGGGACGCTGTGAGACATGGGGACATTGGGAGACACATTTGGACACGGAGACACTAGGGACACAGTGTCTCCATGTCTCCCAGTGTCCCCATGTCTCCCAGTGTCCCCTAGTCTCCCAGTGTCTGTGTCTCCATGTCTCTCAGTGTACCCATGGCTCCCAGTGTCCCCATGTCTCCCAGTGTCCCCATGTCTCCCAGTGTTCACATGTCTCCCAGCCAGTGTCCCTAGTGTCTCAGTGTCCCCATGGCTCCCAGTGTTCCCTAGTCTCCCAGTGTCTGTGTCCCCATGTCTCTCAGTGTCCCTAGTGTCTCAATGTCCCCATGGCTCCCAGTGTCCCCATGTCTCCCAGTGTCCCCAAATGTTTGTGTCCCCATGTCTCCCAGTGTTCAGATGTCTCCCAGCCAGTGTCCCTAGTGTCTCAGTGTCCCCATGTCTCCCAGCCAGTGTCCCTAGTGTCTCAGTGTCCCTATGTCTCTCAGTCTCCCTAGTGCCCCCATGTCTCCCAGTGTCCCCAAGTGTCTCAGTTTCCCCATGCCTCCCAGCCAGTGTCCCTAGTGTCTCAGTGTCCCCATGTCTCCCAGTGTCTGTGTTCCCATGTCTCTCAGTGTCCCTAGTGTTTTAGTGTCCCCAAATGTATCAGTGTCCACATGTATCCCAGTGTCTGTGTCCCCATGTCTCTGTGTCCCTAGTGTCTGTGTCCCCATTTCTCCCAGTGTCCCCAAGTGTCTTAGTGTCCTCATGTCTCTCAGTGTCCCCTAGTATCCTAGTGACAAGGGACACACTGAGACATGGGGACACTGAGACACTGGGAGACTAGGGGACTGGGCGACATGGGGACACTGACACTGATACATAGGGACACTGATACCAAGCTGGCCTTCCAATTCTTTGGACAGACATGCCCACTTTTTTGGGCATGTTCGCCCCTTTTCGCAGTTCTGGTCACGTAATTCGCGTCAGTGGCCCACCACCCTGCCCATTTACTTCCTGCTTCACTGGACACTGCTGTTAGGGGGTATGGATTTACTTGAAAGATGAAAGCATAAATTAGAGAGAGAGTATGTGTTTTCTTATAGCTGCATCCTTTGAGTTTCCCTCCAACACCATTTCCATCAGATACACGACGCTTGGAAGGTATGACGGTTTTAGTGTTTTTGGTCGATAAGATTCTGTAATTAGGCCCCATCATAATTGTCAGCACCTGGCCCACTGGGCTCTTAATCTGGCCCTGCATATAGCTAGTGACACAAATTGCCCATCCCTGTCCCAATCTCATAGCTTCCAACGTTGGCAGGTATGCACATGAAATGTAAAACTGCACAAATAAAACTTATTTTGAACTGCATCTAAATAATGGAAATAGAAAGAAAATAGCAAGTGGGACATCTATAAAATTTGCAGTTGTAGCATTTATTAATGGAAACTAACATGAGTGTATATGTTTCACTTCATATTTGTCTTGAAGAATGTTTCAAACAAACAGAGGCTTTATTATAACATAGAACAATGGAGTAGAAAGAAGTGACAAGCCCAGCAGACTGCTAGTAGACTTAGATAATGTGTCACTGTTGGCATCAACATAACTTTAATGCATATGATAGCTTTTGTTTTCATTTTGCATTTTTATGCGTACTCAGTTCTCTTTAGTTTTTGAAGAAAGAACAAAAATAGTTTTGTAGCTTAGTGAACATTATCAAATCTCAGGTTTAGTTGGGAAAATCTTAGTTTTAACAACTAAATCTTTTAGGTAATTAAAAGCATTTTTGCATTAGTCCGACAACTTACAGCAATGGTGAAGAAAAACAAATCAGCATCTTGACAAAAATAAAGCTGTTGATATTTCAGTAAATGTGAACATTTTAGTCATAACACCCAGTTGTAAGGGTACTATCGTCAAAGTAGGATAGGGTTTTTCCTCAAAACTCCTTTAATACATTTATACAGTTTTGATACTTCTACCTATACGTCATAATTCACGTGTTCTGCACAGCCCACCAACCAGCATGTTATACCAGTCACAAAATAGATATCTTTGAATGGGTTGATATCCTGCTCTCCCCATTCACCTTACAAATATATTTTACTACTTACTAAGCATAACATGCACAGAACATGTGATTGTATAATTGTTGGATTCTTTTCAACTCTCCCTCAATGTAAATACACATTCCGCTAATAATTTAGGATCACATGTATCACTAATTCTATCATCCACCAAAACTTTCTAATTTTTAGACAACACTACCAGTTATTTACCATACCTCCTTTTTCTAGTTCACATCTCCAGCATCTATCGGATGCTACCAAATAAAATCTAAATAACTCTGTTTGAACTCTATACCATCCATTTTACCAAAATTCTGGGTAATACATTCATAACTACTACACTAGATCTCCTAAGCCATGAACTATTCAAATCTTGTTTTAAAGGGACACTGTAGTCACCCAGACCACTTCAGCTCAATGAAGTGGTCTGGGTGCCAGGTCCCTCAGGTTTTAACCCTTCAGATGTAAACATAGCAGGGTTAATCCAACCTCTAGTGGCTGTCTTCCTGACAGCCGCAAGAGGCACATCTGCGACGCTGGATGCAAAATTCGCATCCAGCGTGCAGAACGTCCATAAGAAAGCATTGAGAAATGCTTTCCTATGGACTGTTTGAATGCACGCGGCACTTGCCACTCATGCGCATTCCGCTCCACTCGGGAGCTGACGTCGGCTGGGAAGGAGAGGTCACCAGCGCCGAGGGAGCCTGGCGCTGGATACACTATAGTGATCCTTTAACTTATTCAGCAAGGGGATATAATTGAACTTTCAAAACCTTTCTATTTCTGGAATTATAAATGTACCCAAATATTACAACTTAGTACTTGTCTTTTTTTGTGAAAATGTTTGTGGCATTTTTCTCACATTTGTTCTTTCAGAAATTTTGACCTGCCTATGCCCAGAAATTCACATTTTGTTATATTTACTTTAAAATTTGATTACTATATTTTTCTATTTCTTTTGTTTAAGTATATTAAAGACTTTTGCACACACGCACAATCTCCCATACACACTCAGGGACCTTTAGACACTAGATACCCTACACACACTACATTCCTGACACACAAACTCTGGATCCCCTATGCACACACTACATTCCTTGTAAGCAAACACATACTACATTATCTAAATACACACTCTCTACAACCCCTACACACACAACAGCCCGTATGCACACACTCGCTACATCCCCTATACACACACACACACTCTCTACAGCCCTTAGCCACACATATTACACCACAAACACAAATGAAATCAACCTAAAAACCACAATACCATACCACAACCAGCTCACGCTACACACATGCAATCCCAGAAGCAGTCTCCAGACACATGCACCATACACTTTCCTGGCCCTTTTGTCCTCTGGTATCCCACTTATGGAGACACCAGAGACAAGTTAAAAGCAAACACAGTGCAAGCATGTTATTAAATTTGCATGCGCTGCGCAGAACAAATACAGGGCCTTTTTCTCATGCTAGAGCTCTTCAGCAGAGCTCTGCACATTGAGCCAACATGCTCACTTTGAGAGGGGGCGTGCTTGTCATTAGTGATGACAAAACACATCCTCTCTGGCCCCTCCCCCTTCTCAGGGGGGCAGCTGTGATTGAAAAATGCCTGGGCTGAATTTTTTCCCAGTCCAGCCCTGCCAGACACCAATATATTTGGGCAGAGTAGGCACCTGTCTACTCTGCCAAATGAGTGCAGGCGACTGTATGGTACTTTCTTTGACCACAGTAGGTGTTTAAGTCAGCTCCATTTCCTGTGTCAGAGAAAGTACTCACCTTTCTCCCTGACACAGGAAATGGAGTGAACTTAAGCTCCTCCTTTGGTCAAAGAAGGTCAAGCCTAGGAAAAATATATAAGTAGTCACTACTTTGTCTTATGTTTTAAAGAAAACTAGATCAGAAATAAAGAAAAGATAAACAGATTCTGAGAGAGGAAGAAAAGAGGGAACAACGGTAGAAAGGTAAGATCAGGGTCACATCCTAGTGGTCGATCAATAGAAGTTAATACTAAACTTTGTTCTGTTATAGAAAAAGACTGATTCTTTCACTCCGGAATTAATAAATCTTTGGTTTACTCGGTCAAGGTTAAAATTTATTGAATAGGGGCGTGGCCTGGACGAGCATGGTGCAGGACGCACGCTGAAAGAGCTCCGCACCCCTGGCCTGCCTAATTAGCAATAACTTGCGATAAAAACAGGAGAAAATGGTCCGAAACAAGAAGCAGTTAGCTGCAGAGACAGCGGGAGCAGACTCACCTAGAAGGCATACGGGACCGATGGATGACTTTGTCGCAACAACGCCCGACACGCGAAGGCAGCACTGTGAGCACAAAATGGCGCCCGCCTCCCCGAGATCGGAGAGCGCGGGAGAATCCCACACAGAAGATGCCCAGGTTACTGAGCTGACCCAGATCAGGGCAGAACTGGCACACATATCAGCAAGGATGCTTACCAAGGTGGACACAGGCTCCCTGGTCCAGGAAATCCGCGCTGCTTTGCGTGTGGAGCTTGCTGATATGCGCTCAGACCTGACAGCGCTTGAACAACGGATGGATGAAATGGAGACAACAGCCCAGGGTTGCGAGGAGCACCACAGGGCTACGGAGGTGGCGGTTACCAGACAGGGTAACATGCTCCTCACGCTGCGCAGGCAAGTGGAGGACTTGGAGAATAGGAGCAGGCGAAATAATATCCGGGTCCGGGGCCTACCAGAATCAGACGCGGACCAGCTCCAGACCACGCTAATCGCCTTATTTCAACAGCTACTGGGGGACCAAGCCCCTGAAACACTTCACATAGAAAGGGCACACAGAGCACTGGGCCCAATGAGACAGGACGGCAGCCCCAAAGACGTGATATGCTGCATCACCTCTCATGGCGCGAAAGATCAAATAATGGCCACCGCGAGGGAGCAGACCTCAATAAGATTCCGCGAGGCTGAAGTATCACTGTATCAGGACTTGTCCAGCCTCACACTAGATGCCAGGAGGGCCCTGAGACCGGTGACTGGTACCCTCCGAGACAAACGTATACCATACCGATGGGGCTTCCCATTCAGCCTCCAAGTGAAACATGG